CCCCATTGTCCTCATCCATAGGTACACAGTTTATGTTCAGTCCCTTCCCGCACCCCTCACTCCCCTTTTCCCCGAGAATCGTCAGTTCACTCCCCTTCCATACCTCTGATTCTATTATATTCACCAGTTAATGTTGTTCATTACATTTTTTAATTCCCTTGGTTTTTAGATTCACTTGTTGATAGTCACATATTTGTTGTTCATAATCTTTATCTTTATTTTCTTCCTCTTCCTAAAGAGCCCCCTTCAGCAATTCATATAATTCTGGTTTGGCGGTGATGAACTCCTTTAGTTTTTTTATTTGTGAAGCTTTTTATCTGGCCTTTGATTCTGAGTGATAGCTTTGCTGGGTAGAGTATTTTTGGCTATAGGTTCTTGCTATTCATCACCTTGAATATTTCTTGCCAATCTGTCTGGCCTGCATGGTTTCTGTTGAGAAATCAGCTGACAATCATATGGGTGCTCCTTTATAGGTAACTACCTGCTTTGCTCTTGCTGCTTTTAATATTCTCTCTTTGTCTTTTGCTCTTGGAATTTTAATTATGATGAGTCTTGGTGTGGGTCCTCTTTGGATTCCTTTTGTTTGGGGTCTGTGCGCTTCCTGGACTTGTAAGTCTAATTCTTTCACCAGGTGGGGGAAGTTTTCTGTCACTATTTCTTCCAGTATGTTTTCAGTATCTTGCTCTCTCTCTTCTTCTGGGACCCCCCATAATTCTGATGGTTCGTTTGAAGTTATCCCAGAGGTTTCTTACATTATCTTCAACTTTCTGGATTCTCTTGCCTTCTTGCTTCTGCAGAGGAGTGTCTTCTGGCTCTTTATGTTCCAAATCTTTGATTTGATTCTTGCGATCTTCCATTCTGTTTTTAGGACTCTGTATAATATTTTTTATTTCAGACATTGTATTCTTTATTTCTAGTTGATCCCTTATTATTTCTAGTTGATCCCTTTTCATATCCTCATAGGTCTCGTTTATTTTATCAGCCTTTTCTAGGAAATTCTTGAAAAACCTTACAAGCATGGTTTTTAACTCTATATCCAGGTGCTTTTTGTCCTCCATTTCTTTTGTTTGTGATGTTTCCTTGTCTCGGCATTTTCACTGCTTCCCTGAGTTGGTAGGGTGGCTTTGTGTGCTAAGGTGTCCTATATGGTTCAGTGGATCAGTCTCCTAGTTACCTGAGGTGGACACTCTTGGTCCACCCCTTTGTGGACTGTGTGTACAGCCTTATTATAGTTAAGGCTTGATTGCTGTTGGTATCACTGGGAGGAACTCACCTCCAGGCCAATTGGCTGTGAGGATCAGCTGTGCCTATGCCAGGAGACAGCCTTATTCGACTAGACTTGGAAAATTGCAAAAGCCTCTGTGTTCAGCTTAGATGAGGTGGAGTTTCAGGGTGGAGCCTACAGCCTTGGCTTCCTGTCAGCCCCGCCCTATGAGGTTCCTGAGTCTCAGTGTTCCTCAGTGTCCTTTGGTACTTGCTGTTTTGGTACTCGCTGCAAGCACCTCTGAGAGAAAGGTGCCCTCGAGTTTCACCCACTACCAGACAGTCTAGGCTCTCCCCCAATGAGCCCGGAGCTGGGGTTCAGAGCAGTCTGAAGCTTTTGTCTCCTTCCCGCTGGGGCAATCCAGCAGCACAGTCAACAGTCCGTTCTCTGTGTGCAATGTGCCTGTCTCCGGGACTTCCTTTTGCTGTTCCCCTGAGTTTCCGCCTTACAGCCCAGACTCCCTCCGTATGAGCCTGGGTCCCCAGGGTCTGGCCTAAAACTGGGGTTCAGTGCAGTTGGAACTGGGGCTCAACACAGTCCAGAGTTTTTGTCTCCTTCCCGCTAGGGCAACCCAGCAGCACAGTCAATAGTCCATCCTCTGCTCGCAATGTGCACCCCTCCGGGACTGTCTTTCACCGCTCCCCTGAGTTTCCGCCTTACAGCCCAGACTCCCTCCGTATGAGCCTGGGTCCCTAGGGTCTCGTCCAGAACTGGGGTTTAGCACAGTCCGGAGCTTTGATCTCATTCCCGCTAGGGAACACCAGCCAGACACTCAGCCTCCCCCTCCTCTCCGGCTCCCTCCTCTTCCCGCACGCACCGTGTCTCCGTACCTTAGGCTTTTACAGCTCCTCTGATTTTCCTTCTGGTTTTCTCTTTCCTTCTAGTTGTAAAATTTCCCGTCAGTCAACTTTCCTGTAGTTCTGGATAATGTCCATTTTGTATTTTAGTTGTATTTTTTTGAAATTGTTGTGTGAGGCTGCCGTTATGCGTTTACCTATGCCACCACCTTGGTTTCGGATCTAGCTCTTACACATTTAAAGTACCTTTGAGATTACATTGGCCAGGATAATGCAGCATATCTTTAATCTTTAAATTCTGTTGGTTAGCAATCTTAATTCCATCAGTAGCCTTAATTCTCCTTTGCCATTTAACATCACACATTTATAGGTTCGGGAGAATTAGACATGGACATGCTTAGGGGACCTTCATACAACCTACTGCAGTGAGGGGTGCCATTTAATTCTGTTTTCAAAAAGGGATCAGTGCCCTGACTGGTTTGGCTCAGTGGCTAGAGCATCAGCCTGCGGACTGAAGGGTCCTCGGTTCGATTCTGGTCAAGGGCATGTACCTTGGTTGCGGGCACATCCCCAGTAGGGGCGTGCAGGAGGCAGCTGATTGATGTTTCTAACTCTATCCCTCTCCCTTCTTCTCTGTAAGAAATCAATAATTTTTTTAAAAAAATTAAAAGGGGGATCAGTGCCAGCATGTTTGTGTTCAACCTTAATTGTGCTTAACCATTATTGCACTGTTTGGATGTGGCACAAAGGAGGGGCTTAAGACTAGAGGAAGGATGTAGGTGTGAAGGAATGTGCATACATAGGAGGGCCTTATCCAAAGAATGTCTGGGCAAACTAGACAGGTGTATAGGGAAGTGGCTGAGATCCAAGCTGGTTCTAATCCCTGCCACATTTCCACACCGCCAAAGATCATGATAGCTTAGATGTGACTGCCACAGAAGACTTGACAGACAGAACCAGAGAAAGAGGAGCCAGGGCCTGCCCTACCTGGTGCTTGATACTTGGCTGTGAGGCTACAGGCAGGGAGGATTGCATGGCCTTCGTGGGTCCTGGCAGGGAAGTGAACTCTTGGACAACTTTGGGGACCGCAAAATGCAACACGTATAATCATTTAGAATGAGAGAAAAAGCAGTCTAGCAGAAAGAATGGCTCTGGGCACTGAGCACTGGACTGTTTGCCAGCATTAGAGGTCTAGATCTGTCATCCTATAGAAGAGGAACAAATGGTGAGGCCTCCATGTCAGCCCCCTCCCACCTTCCTCCCCTCTCCTCGCCTGTGAACAATAAAAGAAACCTGCAGGATGTCTGGGGTGGTCTGGCCTTGGCTCTCCTCTCCCCCTCACAGCCTGCAGTCCCCACAGCCCCTCCTCTCCCCTCAGCATCAGGAAGGATGGCTGGGGGAGGGGGGAGGAGGGGGCAGGCAGCCAGAGCAGTCTGGGGATTCACACAGACCAAGGGCGGCTGGTATCCTTCCGCTGCTGCGGCCAGTGCAGCTCCGTGGGCCTCCCCATCCGCCCCCCCCCCCAGACCCCCGCCCGCCCGCCCGCCCCCTAGATTGGAGCGCCCGGAAGGGCACTGCAGTGGGGTGGTTGCCAGGTAGGGGGCCGCGCGGGTCCTCCGAGGCTGCGGGTGGCGCCCACCTGCCCCTCGGCCAGGTCTCCCCCCCCTCGGGTCGGAACTAGGTGGGCCTGGGGGGCGTCGGCCCATTCACGCTCGCATATCCCTCCGCCCCTTCCCGACACCCTCGCTGCTGCCAGCGCTTCTGTCCGTTGCTTCCTGCGCGGCGCGTGGGCAGACGCCTGAACTCAGCTCCGGCGCTCGGGAGGCGGCGGGAGGCGGTGGGCGTCTGAGTGAGGAGCTGTGAGAGGAGGGAGCAAGACCACCGGGCCCTGAGCCTGTAAGGCAAGTGGGCGCTGGCTGCGGGAGAGGGGGGGCACTCTCCACCAGCTTTCAGCCCGCGCCCTGACCCTGGCACCCCGGGAGGAGGCGGCGCCCTGGGCTGTGGGAGCCGGTCCCTGAGGGAGGTGCGAGGAGGTGGCGGCCCCTGGCGCAGGCTGGCCGAGAGGCTCCCCGGGCATCTGCGGAGGCGAAGCAGCCGCCTGCTCCCGGCCAGCTCTCCTGGCGCCCGCACCGCCTTCTAGGTGTCTGTGCGGAGAGGGCTGAGGGGAGGCTACTGGGGGAGAAATGGCGGAGCAGGAGCGCGAGCTGGGGTGGGAGCGGGGCTGGGGGTGGGGACGGGGACACCCGGGGAATGGCGATGGCGATGGCTACTGGGGGGGGGGGGGCCTGCGTTCTGGGTGCTCTCCCTTCCCACAGGCACCTCGTTGATGCCAAAACCTCATGTTTGCGTGGTAGGTCTGGCGATTTCGGGCTGCAGGGTGCATCTCTAGAGAAGCGGCTTGAGAAAGTTGGAGCAGGAAAATAGCCTGGATCTGGAGGTGTGTGGGGATGGACAGCAATCATTGACTGGATACCCGAATTGGGGGGTTTCCTGTGTACCAGCTTCTAGATACTTATCTTAACCTCCATCCTTTATTTCAACCAAAAGTGGGCAGAAAAAGATGGGCTCAGAGGCGAGGGTGAGACAGATTCATAATTACAAGTGCCACTGCACAACCTGTTTTCTAGAATATACAGGAGCCCTTCCCCCAATTTATGCTGCGCAAGGCAAAAGGATATGGTGCACCTAGTGGTGAATCTTCAGAATTGGAGAAGGGAGCAATGGGAAGATTGTGACGTCAAGAAAATATGTCGTTATCTGGAATCTTGAAACAGAGGGACCTGATTAAAAAAAAAAACGAGAGTATTTGACCAAGAAGACCCTAAATGTTGAAAGACAAATAACATGTGGACTTCATCATTGGTGTTGGACTCCCATCAAGTGCTCAGTTGCTACCATGCTCTCCTGACTGTCTTATCTTTTTGTCTGTCTGTCCATAGGCTTGCTTTAAGGCTGGTCACTTTCTGCAAGGAAGGAAAAGAGGAAGAGATTGGCTCAGTTCTCTGCAGGTTGGTGCAAAGAGGGACAATGCAAGGGACAGTTACCTAGTAAGATTATGGCAGGTCTTTGTGATCCACCTCTCCTGGCCTGCCAGATTTGCACACTGCTACAGCCTTCCCTGTGCATTTCCTGCAGGAGGTATTGGAAATATTTGGGTATGTGTGGGCTGTGAATGAGAGACCTGGGATCAAAAACCAGGAAACAGGAAGCAGAAAAATTTGACCCTTAAAATGAAAGGGAGGTGTGTGCCTGTCAACTAAGCACTCAGTTCATTTTCTCTTACATGCTTACTTGTCCACAGGACAGCCTGCTGTCTGCTGTATAACTGAATACCACTGGAACAGAGCAAGGAGGGGGATATTGCACCACATCAGAGCAGGTTAGTATGGGAGTGGGTAAAAGAGTGGGCTAGTTGAGATGAGACTAACACAAGTCCAAAAGTGATTAGGGTCTAGTTTGGGGGCTCCTTAGCACCATTACCAACATAGTACTTTCCCCACCAACCTCACACTTACTTTCTGGCAGGCCAAGTATGTGGCAGCTCTGGGGGAATGAGGGTGACAGATTTTCTAAAAGCTAAACAGCTCCACCAAGAATTCAAGGTTGAGTCTCTGTGTGTGAGTCTCCGCTTGGAGTGACACAATGGAAGCGACTCAGAGCCCCGTGCTGATCTCTCTCCTTAGATTCACCGTTAGTGGCAGCTCTGGTGGCATTGGAGTTGCTGCTGACCACCACCCTCAACAGATCCGCACCCACCTGGGAACCATCTCTTCTCCCCCAGCTTGGTTGTGCCTCTTCTGCACCCTGTCTATAATATTGGCTGTGGCTGGTCTTGGGAAAGAGGCTTATTGACTGCTGGACTGGTGATTAACTCTCACTCTTATTTCTGACTGTATCATCTGAATCACTGAAGAATCAGAGTGTGAAGATACGTCTGTGGTAGAGGCTAAGACTGTGCTACTCATATTTTAACTGTGTCTTTTCTGTAACGGGTACTATGACTGGGGCTGAGATTGAACCAAGTGCCCAGGCCAAGCCTGAAAAGAAGGCTGGAAAAGAGATTGGGGGTGGGGCTGAGAATGATGTCCAGATGGTGGTCAGACCCAAGGTTAGGGCCCAGACCCAGGCAATGCCTGGGGCAAGGCCCAAAACTGAGTCAAAGGCTATGAATGGGGCAAGGCCCAAAACTGAGTCCCAAGCAATGTCTGGGGCAAGACGCAAAACTGAAGCCAGGGCAGTAGGTGGGGCACGTCCTAAAACTGAGGCCAAGGCAATCCCTGGGGCAAGGCCCAAGGATGAAGCCCAAGCTTGGGCCGAGGCTGAATTTGGAGCTGAAGTAATGTCCCAAATAGAGGGCATGCCCCTCACCAATGCAGCAGCCTGGCCACTGGTCAGTACTGAGTCTGGATCAGTTCCTAAACCCATAGCCCTATCTGTAGACAGGGAACTGTTAAATATGGACCCTGAGACCTTTCCTGGTTCCCAGGGTCAGTCAGGAATTCAACCCTGGTTTGGATCAGGGGAGGAAACTAATATGGGGTCTTGGTGCTATCCCAGGCCCAGGGCCAGAGAGGAAGTGTCTAATGAATCTGGATTCTGGTCAGCCGATGAGACCTCTACAATGTCTTCTCTCTGGGCTGTAGAAGAATCCAGTATCAGATCATGGCCCAGGGAAGAGCCCAAGTCCAGGCACAGGGCTAAACATCAGTCTAGGCCCAGATCCAAGCCAGAACCCTATATTGATTCCTGGTCCGGGTCTGAGGAGGAGTCTGGCAACCCATTCTGCTTGTGGCCTGGAGAAAATACCAATAACTTGTTCAGACCCAGAGTCCGGGATGAGGCAAATTCTAGGTCCAAACTCAGGACAAAGAAAGAGGACTGTTTTGAATCTGAGTCTGAAGATGAGTACTATAATGAGTCTTGGTTTTTGCCTGAGGAGATGATTAGTAGATTCAGGTCCAGAGACAGGGAGGAGCCTGATACTGTCTTGAAGCCCAGGGCCCAGAAAGATGATAACAGTAATAGGGTCAAGCATGAGCCCAAGTTTGAGGAGGATGTCATCATTGGGTCCTGGTTCTGGGCAGAGAAAGAGGCTGATGTGGAGGCTGGGGCTTCAGCCATCTGTGAGTCCGTGCCAGGGGACGAGGAGGGGGCCATTGGTGGATCCTTGTTCTGGACGGAGGAGAAGTCCAGTTTGGGGGCTGTGGCCAGAGAGGAGACCAGGCAGGAGTCTGAAGAAGAGGCCATATTTGGGTCCTGGTTCTGGGATAAGGATGAGCCTTGCTTTGATCTAAATCCTAATCCTGTGTACAGGGTTAATTCCAGGTTCAGAGATTTCGCTGAAGAGGGAATTAATACAGCATCCAGACCTCGAACCTGGGAAGAGGTCACTGTTGAATACAAACCTGCCCCTTATAGGATTGGCTTCCCATCCGCAAGCTCCTTTAAAATTTCTGAAGAAGCATCCTCTGCATTCATTGAACTGTTTGAGGGAAAACCCAATAATGCGGAAGGGGAAGATGAGGAATCTTCCCCTCAGGCCAAGCAGGTCACAATAAAGTGTGAATCCTCCTACCGGTCAGTCACAGAAATTCGAGAGCATCTTAAGGCCAGGGAGAGTGCGGAGCCTGAGACTTGGTCTTGTAGCTGCATACAGTGTGAACTTAAAATTGGTTCTGGAGAGTTTGAGGAACTCCTCCTGTTAATGGAAAAGGTTCGTGATCCTTTTATTCAGGAAATATATAAGATTGCAATGGGTATGAGAAGTGCTTCTCAGTTTACCCGAGATTTCATTCGGGATTCAGGTGTTGTCTCACTTATTGAAACCTTGCTTGATTATCCCACCTCCCGAGTTAGGACAAGATTTTTGGAAAATATGATTCTCATGGCTCCGCCTTATCCACATCTAAACATGATTGAGACATTCATATATCAAGTGTGTGAGGAAACCTTAGCACAAGGCTTGGATTCCCCTGAGCAACTGCTTGGATTAAGGCTGCTTAGACACCTCACTATGACTACTGCCTATCACACACTGGTTGCCAATTTTATGTCTGAGTTTCTTTCCCTGTTAGTCACAGGAGATGTAACAACCAGGTTTTTTGTTCTGAAAATGCTGTTGAACATGTCTGAAAATCCTATGGTGGCAAAAACACTATTCAGTACCAAAGCTCTATCGGTATTTGTGGGTCTCTTTACCTTACAGGAAGCATATGAAAATATTCAAATTGTTATTAAAATGTTTCGTAATATCAATACTATTATAAGAAATGGGACAATAGCCTTAATTGTTGATGATTTTAGTCCTGCGCCATTTCTGACTGCATATCAACAATTTGAGAAGTTAGCTAAGGCACTACAAACCCAAATAGACAATCAAAAGGATCCTGATGGAGGACAACCAAACTAATATAATTAACCACCTGTCTCATCAGCCTTGTGTTCCCAAAGAGCCCTGAGTAGTGCTTTGGTTTTCACCGTCCGGTTTTGTGTTGTAACTTATATTTTTAATGCTGTTGTTAACTTTGTGCAGTTCTTGGCTTGAACTGGATCATTTTGTGGATGCCAAATGAATATTAGAGCTGAAAACATATTTGTTGATAATTGTCTTGCTGTCCAGATTGCAGTATTTTTCAGTATTGAGCTTCCAATGAACTGAGTTGCCTGTGTAAGCTACCCTGTTGTTTGTTGTTTAAACATGTGGTTCTCTATTTGAGTCTGTGTTTTCAATAAAGTTCTGTGTGAAAACTGGCAGAAGTGACGACTCTTCACTTTAAAATCCGGGTGCAGATACATTGTGCACACTTACAAACATAAATAGAAGTATGACAAGCATACCCTCATTGGAAAATTCCATTTCTGGAGTTTAGGAAGTAGATTACTGTGAGGGCTCTGATACTTAAGTGTTTCAGAGAAAAGGGACACCCTTAAATTGGTCACTGAAGCATAGGATAAGAAGTGACCAGTGGCGCCGAAACCGGTTTGGCTCAGTGGATAGAGCGTCGGCCTGCGGACTGAAGGGTCCCGGGTTCGATTCCGGTCAAGGGCATGTACCTGGGTTTCGGGCACGTCCCCAGTAGGGGGCGTGCAAGAAGCAGCTGATAGATGACTCTCATCAATGTTTCTAACTCTCTATCTCTCTCTCCCTTCCTCTCTGTAAAAAAGCAATAAAATATATTTTTTAAAAAAAGTGACCAGTGGTAATATATAATTTAAAAATAAGTTTTAGTAACATGGATGTATCCTGTCTGACTGGAATAGGTGAGACAAGTTTATTGAGGGATGCACTTAGAATGAGGCCAGTTTGGAAAGCTAAGACAGCCAAATCTACATATTTTATAACTCAAAATTACAGGTGTAGCTTCAGTGCCATGAGAAGAATGAATGGGGCCCAGCTGGCATGGCTCAGTGGTTGAGCATTGGCCCATGAACCAGGAGGTCACAGTTCGATTCTTGGTCAAGGCATATGCCTGGATTGCAGGTTTGATCCTCAATGTGTGGCATGCAGGAGGTAGCCAATGATTCTGATCATTGATGTTTCTATCTCTCATCCTCTCCCTTCCTCTCTGAAATTAATACAAATATATGAATAACAATAAGAATGAATGGGTAAGATAGCAAATGAACTGGAGTTAGGAGTAAGATTTTGTTTGTGATACTAGTCCAAAGAAAGTATTAACCTGTTAACCAAGCGGGACCTATAAATACGTCAAACATAAACACTATCGGAAATGGGTAGGACATATGAATACATCCTTGAAATATATGTTGCGCCCTGAGAGGGACGGTATATATTTTTTGTAATCTTTATAATTGTAACATTTATAATTTTTTAATTCGATGTTTCCATTTTTTTGTTGGTATTCTTTTCTATTTGTTTGTAATTTTGTATTTTCCTTTGTGCTTTATATATAAATAAATGAAAAAATATTTCATTTATTTAAATTAAGTATAAATAAAAAAAATAATAATATAAAATTACGTCCGCTGGGCGTGACATACTGACACGTCCTAGTGAAAGAGTATGTGCCCGTTGTATGTTGTGTAATTAAAAAGGGAACTCTCCCCGGTTAACAGGTTAAGGAAATACCATGCATCTTTCAAAAGTGATCTACTTATTGGCATGAAATGACACTGATGCTTGTACATCTAGTAAAATAGAGAATACCATCTTCTATGGCAGCAGTCACCAACCTTTCAGACCTCACAGACTACTAAATTCATAATTTCAAATCCCGTGTACCACTAATATGATTTTAAAAAATAAATACATTTGTAAAATTATCAGAGAACTTCCATTTTATTAATATGAAATGCACCTACCTATATATATAAAACCCTACTATGCAAATAGACTGAACAGTGGAACAAACAAACAACCGGTCGCTACCATGTGTGCACTCAGCATCGTCAGTGCATGGGAGTGGCAGCAGCAGGAGTGGGGCTGCTGGCAGACAGGACCTGAGGGCCATGGGGGAGGGGTGGCTCTGACTGGGTGTGGAGGATGGACCTAGACCTCCTGTGCCTACCACAGCCTCTAGACCCATCATCCCTTTCAAGATGCACAAATTTGTGCACTGGGCCCTCGTTTAATATAACAACATTATAAATACTTATTTAATCATAACAAAATCTTCAAAGGTTTTTAAATTGTAACAAACTTATTAAAGTAAGTTTAATTTTTACAAAATAATTGAAGCTTATTTAAGCATTAAGCTTTTTTTTAAAGTGTGATATTTGCTCCTGTTTTCTAGAAATAAGTTTATGGATTTTTGGCTCCAATGATGTTACTGCAAGATGGAGATCCATATTTCAAGTCAAGACCAGTACCGAGTTTTAATTGCTGTGACAAATGAAAATGTTTTTTCACACAAATATATTGTTGAAAATTGAATCATAATTTTCATTGCTTTTTCACTCAGCAGTGGGTATTCACTTTTAATGGAGATCCAAAAATGAGGTCTTGATAAGGATGACTGGAATTAGTTTTGAGACTGTCATCGAATGATAGATCAATGAGGCTTTCTTTTTCATTCATGCTTAAATTGATATCTTCAATGTTTGCTGCAAATGGATCTATTATACATATATTGCCATGTCTGGGATCTTCTTTCTTTGGGTAATAATGACCAAAAGGTTCTGTGTGTGATTGTAAGTGCTGTTGAACAATGGTTACTACCTGTCAGTTGACATTCTTCTCTCTCATATATTCATCAAAGTTTGAAAACATTTGCAGATCTTCAGCCTACCGCATTTGCCACAGTAATATTTTCTTTTGAAAAGTATCCATTTTACCCCGTAGTGTGAACATGTCCTTAAATTGTCCTTGCAAGGATATGTTTTGTTCATTAATAGCAAAAAAAAAAAAATTACACACACGCACACTAGGTATGCAACCTACCCACTCATTGTCGGAGAAGAGTTTTGTAATTTCGGATTATTTTGCTGCTGGAAAAATATTTTTACTTCACACAGGGCAAACAGTCGGGTTAGTATCTTGTCCCAGCCATCTCACCTCAGCGTGAAGAAGGTGAGTGTACTGGGAACCCATTTCTTCACAAAGTGCCTCAAATATTCAAGAATTGAGTGCTTTGTGTCAAATTTCATTTATAATTTTAATAACATCTGATAATCATGTAGTTCTGGGGACAATATTTTCACTGCAAGTTGCTCACGATGTATAAAGCAGTGTGTAGACAAAATGTCTGGATGACCAACATTTTTCACCTTTGCAACAATTCCTGAAAGATGTCCAGTCATGTTTGTGGCACCATCTGTACATATCCCTAATCATTTTTCCCATTCAATTCCGTGTTCCAGGAAATAACTATTAAGTGCATCAAAAATCTCAAAGCTAGCTGTTCCACCTGGGAAGTGGAATGAGCAAAGTAGTTCTTCCTGTAACTCTCCTTCACATTCTGCCCTCACAAAACAAATAAGTGCCTTGTTACTTACATCCTTTGATTCATCAAGTTGAATTGAATAAAATGGTGAATTTTTCATCATTTTTATAACTTGATTTTCAATATCTTCAGCCATGTCTTCAATTCTGCTTTTGGCAGTGTTAGCAGGCATGGGAATGGCTTTCAGTTTCTGACAGCCTGCTCTCCCAAAACCTCTTCACAGGCTTATAACATGCAAGGCTTCATGAATTCTTTTCCAATCATGACTTTTTATTTTTCACAATCTGAAGTGCTATCAGATAAGCCTTTAATAGGATTTATTATAGTCATTTTTGTAAGAGCAAGTACTTGCTTTGCATATTTTCACGCATTCTTTGAAAATATTCAAGTGGTTTTTTTTAGCTAAATCCAGTGCAATACTGAAGCTACTTGCACCTGTTTTGATTAAAGTGTCTCAGGTTTCGAAGGTTTCATGGCATCATTGGATAAACTCTCAGAACACAACACAGAGCGGCTGTGGATCCAGCTCACTACCAGGTTCTTGAACAAATCCAAATTTCAAGTAATTTGAATCATATTTTCTTGATACTTTGAGTTTTTTCTTTTCTCCTCCTCCAGTTCTAATGTTCTTCCTACTGGTGCCCGATAAGGACTATGGAGACTCTGATTCATTGATCAGCTCACAGTTAAGTGAAGTACACATATTACTATTGTTATTATTATTAATTACACTAAGGGCCTGGTGCACAAAATTTGTGCACATTAAAAGGGAATTAATTGGAGGAAATATTTTAATATTGCTATTTGCCCTTTCTCTTTAATAGAAGTGTCAGGGATTAAATAAATTTAGTGAACAGTATATGAAAATCTCCCTGTCAGTCTGGAGCCCACCATGGGACCCAGAGTCAAGTCCCCATGTGCGCCTCAGCTGAAACCAGTTTGGCTCAGTGGATAGAGCGTCGGCCTGTGGACTCAAGGGTCCCAGGTTCGATTCCAGTCAAGGGCATGTGCCTTGGTTGCAGGCACATCCCCGGTGGGGGATATGCAAGAGGTGGCTGATCGGTGTTCCTCTCTCATCGATGTTTCTGACTTTCTATCCCTCTCCTTTCCTCTCTGTAAAAAATCAATAAAATATATATTTTAAAAAATCATGCAAGACCCACATCAAGCCCCTCAGGGTGGGAGGTGCAGCCTTATGTCCCCCATCAAGCCCTGCATGGTGGGGGGCACAGCCTCAGGTCTCCTGGCCCGGGTGCAAGGGTGTGACCACCATTTGCATATTAGCTCTTTATTATATAGGATTATCTTTAGTATTACTAAAGAAATGCAAAATATTCCTTTTGCTTTTTTCACTCATTTTGGATTTATTTCATTCAAATCTAAAACCAAACAAGAAAAGATAGTTATTAAAGTCAAATAATTTGATGTCATTAAATATAACAGTTTAAAGAAAATACACAGTTACAAGTACATACAATAGACAAAACTATCAGATGAGAAACAGTAATTGCAGAGTGGGTGACTGCTGTAATGGCCGAAACAATACTGAAGCCACTTGCACCTCTCTTGTTTTCCCCCTCTCTAGATACTAGAAGGGGAGTCCATGAAATGTATCTACTAGACTCTAGTACATTTCGTGAATTTCATGCATTGTAAAGACGAAAATTGTCATTCAGTCAGAATATAAGAATTTCTTAGAATATTTTTTGTTTTATCATTATTTATTAGCATTAATAAAACATAAAAATGCAAATAATGTCGAAATGCTTCTATTTACCACCAAAATTTTCTCATGGACCACCAGTAGTCCGCAGACCACCAGACCACTACTTGGCGACTGCTGATCTA